AAAGCTATTAAATAGCAGGACAACAAAGCATCCTTTCGATTTCTAAATGTTCTTTAATTTAATCTTCAGCCATTGCCAGATCTAAACAGAAATGAGAGGACTTCAGAACTGTCCTTGAAGTTTCCCTTATTGAATATGAGATATCAGGCTGGGAAATCATTTCTGATTCATCATAGGCTGGGCTTTCTATTTCTAACTGAAACCTGATTAGACCAAAATGACTTTTTATCTATTCTCATCAAAACATCTCGCAAACCTTTAGTTTTGTAAACAAGAAAAGAATGAACAGATCTATGTAGGGGGAGTTGCAGTTTTATTCAAAGCGGTCTTCACATGCAGTCAGCTTGCTAATGTAAATTTTCTCTCTTTCGATTATGTTGCTCTACAGCTACACTCATTCTCTCAAATCCTATTGTTGAACATATACTGACTTCCCAAAGATTGTATAGCTTTCTTGAATTATCTTACTAAACTACTGTCCTTTTAGATTTTTAATGTTGCTGTTCTTGTTGGTTATTACAACTTCATATTAGTAACGCAGAGGAATGAAGTGTTGAAGAACTTAAACTCTTTACTGGGCACTAATTTAAATACTTTGAAAATCTAAATTTCAAGCCAGGAGGGTTATTGGAGGATAGGACAAGACCTTATTACTTATGCAACATTCAAAAATATGTAGCCTATATTACCTAAGGTCAATGTAATAACAAGAAACAGCCACTTGCCCTAATATATTAGGAAAAATAAAAGTGCTTCTTTAATAAATTCATCAAAAACACCCACAGAGTGAAAGAAACACTTTTTTTTCCTACTGTGAGGTTCCGTTTGTACATATGCAGGCAACAGATATGCAACAACAGCACAACATCTAGACATTTTACATCTGCTTATTTTTTATACAAATGGAACCTCATACTTTATATGGTATCTAGTGTTTGAATCACTGTGTTTTTCAATCGCAGCTCAACCAACCGAACAATTTTTCCGCCACTAGGTTCGTAATCACAGATGTTTCAGACATGTAGACTGGCAAGATTACAGTGAGGGAACTTCTACATATGCAACATAGACAAATGCAACATTGACATAGTATACAACATAAACATATGCAGCATAGACATATGCAACATTGACATAGTATACAACATAGACATATGCAACATCTACATGTACAACATAGACATGCAGAATCTACATATGCAATAAATACATGTGCAACTTATACATATGCAGACAAAACATATGCAACAATAGCACAACATCTAGACATTTTACATCTGCTTATTTTTGACACAAAAAGAACCTCATATGATTGGGGGGGACTGTGTTTGTAAGGAGTATGCTGGTGATCAATAACGGTAATTTGCCCTATAAAAGGTTAAATGAGCTTTTTAGTCATGAACTGATGCAACATGTAACAGAACCCAAAAATAATTATAGACACACTGTTGATTGAATCATTTATAAAGGACTTCTTATCTCTGTTTAGAGAGGTGGATGTTATTTGATCATTCCTGTGCCGCTGCTTTGTGCTGTCCTGCTGTCCAAAGATATTTTCATACTAAAGTAATCTCTAAAAGGCACAAAATCCAGGCTTTCTACTCAACTCCTGTATGTCCATTGATTTATCTTAGTAATTTAGTAGATAATATTACTTCTAAAATCAAAACTGTTGTAGACACTGTTGCTCCCACCACACTCTTGAACTTTGGCTACTGGAGATCATTTGCTTCTTTTTACACCAAAAAATAATTTAACTGATGAATACATGTCATTTTGTCACAATACTTTCAACACTACCTCTGTTGTCCAGCTACCCTACTACCAATTTATTTTGAAATGTATCAGATGTTTTGGGTTCTTGCTCTCTACAAAGCGGTGTGTCATAATACTGGTCAGGTAAAAAAAATCTATAAAACTGAAGCCTAAATTTTTATTTGAGCATAAAATAGCAGCCAGTATCCACCTTTTGCCTGCTGGTTTTAAGAGCTCATAGAAAGCCAGTTTGAAAAGCCAAAGTTCATGAACATCATGAACCCCGATCTGAATATTGACATTAAACTTAGCATAGAGTCCGTTTTGTTAGGGTTCCAGTTTGTGGAGGCTGTTTTGTGTTCGTTTTTGTTTCTCCATCCATCCACTAGATGGTGCCCTTTCCACTATTTGGCCTGGAGGGCCTCTTCCGGTCCCCCCCCCCACACCTGCGGCTCATTGGGTCATCACCAGAGGAGTATTTGAGTAGCGGACTGTCACCACCTCGACGCCAGAATGTCTGCCAGTATTGGGTACTCTAGCCTCACAGAGATTAGCGTAGTCAAACCTTTGAGTCTTTGTCTCTCTGAGTTTAAGGTTATTTACCCTTTTGTCTCCTTTGTGTTCTCCGGCAGGATTACCCCCTGATCCGCTGATAAGCCTGGTCCTTCTCCCCTTGGAAGGAATAATTTGTCTCTAACTGAGCAAGGGGAAACCTTCACCAGATCCGTCCAAGCCCACCTCAGGAATTTCTGTGACAGTCTGCTCCGCTGCTCCTCTGGACCCACCATTAGTCTGCCTGTTCGCCCTCCAGCAAGAAACCATCTCCTCAGGACCCACCATTAGTCTGCTTGTCCACCCTCCAGCAAGATACAATTATCTCTGGACTAATCCCCCTCAAACTGGACCCAAGGATCAACCAAGAACCATTCCTTGTGAGTCAAAACTAAACCATTCATATACTTCGATCAAATTCCCTAAGGACCTTGAACTCATCACTGTGATTTCTCCCCCAGAGTTTCCAGTTCCGGTTCATGCTGATAATTCCCTTAGTTTTGTCTCTCTGAGTTCCATTCAGTCAATAAACTGGTAAACTTTTACCCTGCCCCAGAGTGGTGTTCTGCATGTGGGCTAACTTGAGAAACCCATCATGACACGTTTACCATCGGCTCAAAAAATTAGAATTTGATGAAATATGTCCAAACGAGAATCTGAAAAATAAATTCCTGGATTTCTTTTTATTAGACTTAATTACAGTGAGCTATTTTTACAAAACTTCTAAAAAAAAATGACAAATACAATATATTTAAAATACTGCTAATAGTGTCCTTACAAACAAAAAGAAGGATCTTCATATCAGTCCAACTCTGAGGTTTTCAAAAGGTTAGATTATCAATGGCCTTCTAAGTACATATTAATCAGAGCCCTAATTACAAAGATCATTAGATCATTGTAAGTGTTTTAACACCAAGAGTTAGAAAAAAATGCATAGAATTTGGCTCCACTCTAAAGCTGCCAAAAAACTTGTAGAAAGTAAGACCGCTCCCACCCTTAGCAACTTTTAAAAGAGATTAAAAAAATCGTTCTATTTATAGCATATTTCTGTTTCTCTTAAATTGATTTTAAATATAGGCACTTTAAGAGATAATCCTCCCACAGTCCAAAAACCTGCTATATAAATAAATTTTCCTTCACTTACTAATTTAGAAATCAAAATCCAACACGGCTACCATACTTATATAGCATATCCGTACATTTAGACCATAAAGGTTTCTGTAAAAAAAAAAAAAAAAAAAAAATGAAAACTTGATTGTAGAGGAAAGCTAATCTACTGACAAAGTGCACATTAGATAGCATCTCTGAAATTAACAAAATACGTGATCCATTTACTTGTAATCAAAACATGCAAAATACAGGGAGGAGAATATTTAAATGTAATTAAACACCCCCAATATGATTGATCAAAGCTCAAATGCAATGTTGGTATAGTTTCTGGGTTTATATACAGTATAGCACAATTAAAAGTCAGATCCAAGATTGCCCCTGACATTGTGGAAATATGGAGAAGTGGAATTTTCCTGTGTTTATCAGTCCGAAGATTTGTTGTTATATTTCATGATATAAATAGCTTATCTCTGTTTGTTAGAGTTGGAGTTGTTCATGCTGTGGTTCGCACATGGCCAGTGCTGAAAAAGCATTTTTGTTTTTTTTAAGTTACGCATCAGGAATGACAGTCATTGGTGGAAAAATTAAATATTTTTGCATTGGATTTGCTGAACCTTATCGTTAAGAACTCCTACAGGAAACCAACCGATTTTCTCCCATTCTTTTTATGAACTAAAAGCTCTAATATCCTCTTTGATAAAAGATCAAAAATATCCATAGTGATAGATCCACATTTCTTTTCCTTATTTACATGAATAGAGAAGGATGTTTCGTTTCCTCTCTGCCCTGCTGTGACTTATAACCCAAACATTTAATCACAATCAATTTGTAATAATTGTATCCTTCTAATAAAACAAAAAGCTGCTGTTGTGAATCTCTAGCATGGTTGTATTTCTATGTTTATTTACCTTTATTCTACACCACAATATGCATAATTTTCATTGGGCTTTAGTAATAGTCTGCCATGTGAGAATATGAATTTCACCTGTCATGCTTGTGTTTAAACAGCTTTAATCTTTCTCTTTACAACCTAAAGGGCTTTTAATGATTACCGCCTGCAGCTTCTTTATCATTTGTTATCATTTGCCTCCCAATTAAAGACCTGCTGAGTCTAACTTTGAGATTTTGCAACAGATTTAAAGGTTTAATGGACAAAGTGACCATTCAGACTTATTAAACATTTTAACTTGCCCTGAGAAAGTGTTAATCAATAATCCCATGGACATATAGACTCATTACTATTTCAGTCACGTAACACGTTGTGGTATTTCCCAGTATGGGTTAATATTTGTGCCTACTAACCATTCCTCCTCTCAAGATGCATAGCCCCTTTATTATTGTATAGCTCTGAAAAAGTGAAAGGAGCTATTTGTTAGCCTCAATTTAACACAGCAAAGTTTTTTTTTTTTTTCTGAGACTCGAAATCTTGCACCACAGATTAGGCCTATCAGCTTCTGCAAATTCACCCACGGTGTTTCCATCATATGACACTTTGACCACAGCTTTTCAGCTTCCACATCTATAAGACATCTGTCATAGCCCCTTGTATTTTGTATTCTTTACAGACACTAAAAGCCATGAGGATGATGAGGGAGATAACGACTGGAGGGATATAAGTGGGAGGAAACTTTGGAGTTAAGCAGAGGAGGGAAGAGCTAATCTTTATAAAGTCAGACAGTAGGACCAGAGAAAGAAACTATTTCTTGAGACAGTTTTAAGCTGCAACCAGACTATCTCAGCAACAGAGAAGGTTAGTTTGTTTTTATAGGTTTGTTTACTTGCAATATTAAAAAGTTTACTGCTGCTGATTTTTTTTATTTTTAACTTTCTGCTTTCTTTGCCGAAATGTAACTCTTCACAGCATCTTATAGAGGACATATCCTGTTTCACCTTATGATAGCGCTTTAAAATGTTTGACATTTAATGCTTTTTCCTGTGCTTGTCTAAATCATTATTCTTTTTCTCTTGTCTTTGTTATTAGGAGCCTGTTGCAGTTACTAAACTGCCAGTGTGAATTAGTTTGTAAATTTTGTGCTGCTGAGGACTTGTACGTGGGTGATCATGCAGGTGTTGGAGAAGAGGTTGTCGGTCAGACGCTACCTCACCTTTGCTACGGGGCTAGTGGAGTGCTTATGCTTCGCCGGGGCTGTCTTTGGATGGGCTAGTCTTGTTACTGTCCTCAAAGCAGATGGATACTTCAGCTTTCTGTGTGCTAATGCAACAGGAGACAATCACACTCAAATATTAGGTTAGTTTGATGTTACCACTACTTTAAACTATAGATCTAATTTGAGAAAATCAGTTTTACACTACTACTGTAATGTAATTCTCTTTATCCCCGACAGACTGCAGTGCACAGGATGAACAGTTCTCTCTTATTTTCACCATTGCCTCTTTTATGAACAACTTCCTCACTCTGCCCAATGGCTTCCTTTTTGATCACTTTGGTACCACAGTTGCTCGGCTCTTTGCAATGTAAGTACATCCACATTTATGAATTACATATAGACTACACTGATACTCATTTATTTTATGCAAGCACTTTAAGTTTGTCCAATTTATTTTCCTGTTACAGCCCCACATCATTCATGTCATAGACAGGAAATAAGAAATCAATATATTTAACTTTCAAACTAACAGAACTCAGTTTTACCCCCTTCCCTGATTCTCTTAAAATGCAACCAATTACCCACTAATTGGTCATAAGAGTCCAGCTGTGTGTCGAATCTCAATCTAAATATAACTGTTCAGTATAGGAGTAAAGGTTTGCAATCACCCCCATTGTAAAACATAATGGTGGTATGATGATGCTGTGGGATATTGGGAAGCCAGCTAAACTTGGCAGGAAAATATGTGGAGCTTAATTCAACCAGTTAAGTTAAGTTAAGTTAAGTTAAGTTAAGTTAAGTTAAGTTAAGTTAAGTTAAGTTAAGTTAAGTTAAGTTAAGTTAAGTTAGGTCAGGTAAAGTCAAGTCAGGTTAGGTTAGGTTAGCATGACAACCGTAGTTGTTTATTTTCAATCTATTTTCAATCTCTTCTTTAAAAAAATGTAATGTCTTTACATCTAAATTAAAGACATTGTAGGAACAACCTAAGAAGTTCCCTTTTCAGTTTGTTACAAGCCATTAGGGGAAAAACTAAATATCTGGAGTCCCAGCTTAGATGGAATGACACTGGAATAATTTGGCCAACATTTCATATTCAAATTTAAATTCTAATATTATGTTAATATATTAACTCCTATAATACTTTGAAATATGTACATACGTGGATTTGGGCTGAATAGAGTACAAACCTGGATGGAAACCTGTTGGGGGCAGCAAAACACAGAGCAGGGCTATCCTTCCTGCAAAATAACAATTTTCACCTTCAGGCCAAAGTCAAATCCTTATCATTGACCAGTGTAGACACAAAGCAAAAGATTGTTCATTAGTCTGATTGGTGTGTAACCAAAGCAAAGTGCACTGTGTGTTTATTGAAATGTCCAAAATCTGAAGCCTAAATCCTCATGTGAATTCCAAAGTCTCGCCTGGTCAGCCAGGCAAACAATGCCACTAACGACTCCCCCTTTTCAGAGGCATAGGCCAGTATCGGGCATTGCAGGCTAGCAAAGACCTCAACGATTCACTATTAGGGGGCGGACCTGTTCTTCAGGTTCAATTTGCTTGTTTTCTAAGCCAAAACAAGGCTTTGTTGGGCTACTCTATAAAGCTTGAAACTCAAAGCTAATACTGACATTTTGAATTGAAAAAGCTTCCTGGATGAGAAGTGAGACATCTTAAAACTTTGAAAAGAAAGTCCAGTGGTTTGTTTTTTTTACTTTTTCGGAACTTCCACAGTCCAGAATCTGTCAAAAAAAAATTCAACAAATCTTAGGCAAATAACTATAGAGGTTACCATATTTAAGCAACAGAAATCAGGTGTCATTGCATGGGACAGCAGATTGTTCTCATTTTAAAACAAACAAAGGTGTATTATCAAGAAAGTCAACTATCAACTTCTCAAATAGATATTTGCTATAGTCTTTATCAGACCAAAACATTTGCATTGGTGTATTTGAATCATAAACATTTCTTAGTAATTACACAAAGTGATCTGTTATACATGAGCCAATCTATGTCAAAGCATCTCTGCCTCTCACCAGATTTCTTTATACCATGGGTACGCTGATGGTGGCTTTCTCTTCACCAGGTGAAAAGCAATGACAGATTCAAGTAATTGATCAAAAGCTGTTATATCTATTTATAACCTTTTTTTTTTTTGGCTTTTCCTATCAGCTCTGCCTTACCTGCTCTTCCCGGCCCTCCCATTAATGGCTGTGGGCGGCATATTATTTCTCATCACAAACATGCAGGTGAGTTGGTCTTTGAATATTAATCTCTCAACACAGTCATAGGAAAACTAGGTTTGTCTTTGGTGTTTCTGCAAGACGAAGGAGTGGAGAAAGCAGCTGTGTGGATCTGGTTAAACAGACCTGTCAAATTAATAACAGAAGTATCTACATATCTATATATACAATAAATCTACAACGTAATTTGTTGATTTATTCTTGAAATAATAAGCCCACACAACATAAGAAGATAAAATTGTGGATAATCGACCTAATTATTTCTTGAACGTTTTTGTTTACGCTGATTAAATTAATGAGTTTTGTCGATAAGGTGAAGCAAAATATTCTGAGAAACCTGTAACAACGCAAAGGTCTCATACCAACTGAGAAGCAGGGTGTTGGGGTGGTGATGATAAGTAGTGTTCTTCTGCCCCTCATGAGACCATCAGATCAGAACTTGGAGAAAATCAGTTCTCCTCAAAAGAGGAACTTAATTACCGGTAATTCAGAATATTAGCATCATTATTCAGACATTTTACATACAATCTGAAAACTACCATATGGCATTTAAAGTAAGATTGGGACTATCTTCGTTATCCTCAAGGAAAGGACAAGGTGCTTAAACTGAGCTTCTTTAAAAGAGCCAGAAAGGCAAGTCATTGCTCAGAGGGGCGGAAATAACCGCAGGCTTTCAGGGAAGCTTCTGCTTGAATAGAGTCTTTTAGCTCTGTGAAAGTGTATAACGCATGTTTCCCTAATCATAGTATGCTCTTGTTTACCCTTATTTCCATTGCTAAATTCACAGAAAGACTCAGATACTGGAAACTTGTGAACTTTAAAAGGGCTAGAAAGGAAAAAAAATTATATATTTTATTTATCTGATAAACTGGGAATGACGTTGGAAGCATTTGAACATGATCATTCCAGTACATCTAAAAATAAGCCTCTCTAAATCATACCTTGATGTCCGTCATGGGAACATTGTACATTCATTTTCTCTTTCACTTCATCTCAAAATGGATCTTTCTACTTTAGCCCTTCTTGGAAAAAGAGTTTGTCAAAACTTGGACTTTCAGTCAGAAGAGACTTTGAACTAACTTCTACTTATGCAATGGAAATACGGATTTCCCAAAATTCTGGGTATTGTCTGAATATTTTATTTTTTTAAAGGATGATACAGAACTTTGTGCATGTCAGTCAGGATGAATTTGGATTAAGCACTTCCTTTATGTCTGCCATTTATGCTCAGCCTATTTTTAAAAAAAATACCATTTAAAACCCTGTATATACAGTGCACTGTATATGTATATTGGCGGCAACTTCCTCCTTTTCGTCTTTTTGACTATTGAGCCACTGTAACGAGTAAATTTCTCCACTGTGAGATCAATAAAGTCAATCAAATAATCAATCAATCAATAATTCATGAATTCTTACCCTAATTACAGCAAAGGAGATGAGGCTGCAGGGCTTTAGATTCTGGTTTCCAGTGAGAGCTGCTGGACAGGTTGTCGGCTTGCCCCTTAGGGAAATGTGATCAGTTACCTCCTCCTGGGAGGGTTCACCAGTATTTGGTAAAAATGCTTTCCAACAAATGCTGAGTTTTTTCTCCTTGTTTTTTTTTTTTATTTCTGGAGATTAGACATTAGAGTGAATTGAGTGAATTCTTGATTCTACAAATCTGGAACTTCTCAGGTCAAGAGAAGGTGAACTTAGCTGTCAAAATTATAGGAGGAAATTATATTTCCACAAAAGGTCTGTTTATATTTTGTTTTTTTATTATTTTGGATAGTGGATACATTTTGTATTCACTCTCAGAACCTTATTTTTTTCTTTTTCAAGTGTAAGATCTTGCACTTCCAGTTATTCAGCAAGCTGATCTAAATTAGATCCCTGCCAATGTTCCGAACCTCAAGCAAAAGCTCTGAGATATAGGGGTTTATGTTACTGTCTCAATATGTGTCTGCAATTCATGCAGTGTCTTTAAATACATTTCATCAGCAACATGAAAAGTGCAGTCCATAAAACTGCATTTATTATGCAGCTGTTAAACTTAAGTCCTTTTCAGCTGCAAATGAACACCATGACCCCACTGGTGTCACGCAGGACAGATGGTTAACTTAGATGCACTGAATGATGCAAATTAAAGTCCATCGTCTGACTAATTTTAAACATCCATCTTTGGATTATCTGAAGTACTATTATTGTCTGATCCCCTAAAGGAAAACAGAGAAAATACACATGATCAGGAACCAATTAACTTTTCCATGACCCACTTTCTGAAGAAACGGTTCTCTTTTTTCTGTCTGTTTCACTAGCCAAGTCCAGCTAATATTCAACAGACAAACCACAAGGCCTCTTTGAAAAACCCATGGCTTAGTTAAATATAATGTCGTGTCCACATCCTGAGTTCACCGACCAAAAAAACATAACAAAATCGTTTTTCTAAGTCCCAATATCATCATACAAAAACTTTAATTCCATGTTGTTTTGTTTCTACCTCCTTAAGGTTGGAAACCTTTTTGGTTCACATCGCTCCACCATCATCAATCTTTACAATGGTGCTTTTGATTCTTCCTCAGCACTCTTCCTCATCATTAAGGTAACAGATATTTAGAATCAAAGTATTGCTCGTGTTTTTAAATCATCTAGGATGAAAAATATACCTGATATAACTTAGCTTTCTTTTCTCTGCAGTTGGTGCATGAGTCTGGCGTCTCCCTTCATTCCGCCTTCCTATTTCTTACTGCCTGCAGCATCTTTCACAGCCTCAGAACCTTCTTCCTGCTGCCCAGAAACTTCATTCCTCACCCGCTTCCTGATCAATACTCATACGGGTGAGAACAGACTAACCAGAAGCAGCATTTTCTGTTTTTCTTTTTTCACGATAATCCAAGATTTCCCAAAGCGGGGGTCAGGACCACATTAGATAGGCAGTGACTAATTGGAATTTTTTTTTTCTCAAATTCTTTATACATGAAAAATGAATCTCAGTCATTTCAAATATGTCACAATTCCACTGATTTAAAGAGACAGTAACAGTTTGGATAAGCAGAAAATAATTAATCAATTTTGTTATAGCTTTCTGGAGTGGTAGACATTGTGTTAGCTGTGACCCTGCATTAGTGTGATATTTATATAATAAAGAATCTCATTTATAGGCAAGGCAAATTTCTTTGTATAGCACAATTCAGTACAAACACAATGCAAAGTGCTTTACATAATTAAAATATAAGAAAATAAAACAGAATCAAAGCAAGTATGGAAATAAATAAATAAAAAATACAGAAACAAAAAAGAACATTAAAAACAGTTGGACTAAAGAAAATAAAAAAGTTGAACTAATGATGTTTCAATTGAACTAGAACAGTCGAAGGCAATCCTAAACAAAGTTGTTTTTAGTCTTGATTTCAAGGAACTCAGGCTTTCTGCAATTTTACAGTTTTCTGGGAGTTTTTTTTTTTTCCAGATAAGTGGAGCAAAGGAGCAAAATGCTGCTTCTCCATGTTTAGTTCTGGTTCTAGGTATGCAGAGCAGGCTGCAGCTAGAAGACCTGAGTGGTCTGGAGGGTTGATACACTGCTAGAAAGTCTATGATGTATTTAGGTGCTAAGCCATTCAGAGATGTATAGACTAACCGAAGTATTTTAAAGTCTATTCTCTGAGATACAGGGAGCCAGTGTAAGGACTTTAGAACTGGGGTGATATGTCCTTAGTGAGGACATGGGCAGCAGCGTTCTAGATCAGCTGCAGCTGTCTGATCCACTTTTTAGGCAGACCTGTGAAAACACTGTTGCAGTAATCAATTGGACTAAAATAAACGCATTTTCCAGATCATGCTGAGACATTAGTCCTTTAATTCTGGAAATGTTTAAATGTTTTATAGAGAAAATGTTTTATAAAGAAAAACACCTTGAAGCTGAACTCCTTTCTCATTTATCTGCAGGATTTCTTGCGGTGCTTCACAGCCTGTGAGCAGAGAGGTGACTGCAAATTGTTGTGGACATTCAGCACTGGAGGACACAATGTGTACACATAGTGTCCCATTCAAGCATGGTTTGTCATTTCTACCCATTTTTTTGTATTTTATGTTCCATCTTCTTTTCTTGGTTTATTAACTATCTTTCCCTTTCAGAGAAGACTTTTCGTGAGTGTTTGCTGTCCAGGTTCTTTGTGTGCCACCTGCTCTGGCTGTCAGTGATGCAGCTCAGGCACTACCTGTTCATCGGCACCCTCAACCCCATGCTGCAGAGGCTGACAGAAGGAGATTCCTCTCTGGGTAACACCCTTACAGTTATCCTAACTCTTTTCGGGAAAGGAAAATGTATTTTTGCAGACTGTTTCTTCTTTGCTGAGGCTGACATGTATTTATTGGAAGATCTAACATACAGGTGCTGGTCATAAAATTAGAATATCATGAAAAAGTAGATTGATTTCAGTAATTCCATTTAAAAAGTGAAACTTGTATATTATATTCATACATTACATACAAACTCATATATTTCAGATGTTTATTTTGTTTAATTTCGATGATTACAAATGACAACAAATGAAAATCTCAAATTCATCATATCAGAAAATTAGAATATTGTGAAAAGGTTCAAAATTGATGGCCCCTGGTGCCACACTCTAATCAGCTAATTAACTCAAACCACCTGCAAAAGCCTTTAAATGGTCTTTCAGTCTAGTTCTATAGGCTACACAATCATGGGGAAGACTGCTGACTTGACAGTTGTCCAAAAGACGACCATCGACACCTTGCACAAGGAGGGCAAGACACAAAAGGTCATCGCTAAAGAGGCTGGCTGTTCACAGAGCTCAGTGTCCAAGCACATTAATAGAGAGGCGAAGGGAAGGAAAAGATGTGGTCGAAAAAAGTGTACAAGCAAGAGAGATAACCGCACCCTGGAGAGGATTGTGAAACAAAACCCATTCAAAAATGTGGGGGAGATTCACAAAGAGTGGACTGCACCTGGAGTGAGTGCTTCAAGAACCACCACACACAGACGTATGAAAGACATGGGTTTCTGCTGTCGCATTCCTTGTGTCAAGCCACTCTTGAACCACAGACAGCGTCAGAAGCGTCTTGCCTGGGCTAAAGAGAAACAGGACTGGACTGCTGTTGAGTGGTCCAAAGTCATGTTCTCTGATGAAAGTAAATTTTGCATTTCCTTTGGAAATCAAGGTCCCAGAGTCTGGAGGAAAAGAAGAGAGGCACTTCATCCACGTTGCTTGAAGTCCAGTGTAAAGTTTCCACAGTCAGTGATGGTTTGGGGTGCCATGTCATCTGCTGGTGTTGGTCCATTGTGTTTTCTGAGGTCCAGGGTCAACGCAGCCACATACCAGGAAGTTTTAGAGCACTTCATGCTTCCTGCAGCTGACCAACTTTTTGGAGATGCAGATTTCATTTTCCAACAGGACTTGGCACCTGCACACAGTGCCAAAGCTACCAGTACCTGGTTGAAGGACCATGGTATCCCTGTTCTTAATTGGCCAGCAAACTCTCCTGACCTTAACCCCATAGAAAATCTATGGGGTATTGTGAAGAAGAAGATGCAATACACCAGACCCAACAATTCAGAAGAGCTAAAAGCCACTATTAGAGCAACCTGGGCTATCATAACACCTGAGCAGTGCCACAGACTGATCGACTCCATGCCACGCCGCATTGCTGCAGTAATACAGGCCAAAGGAGGCCCAACTAAATACTGAGTGCTGTACATGCTCATACTTTTCATGTTCATACTTTTCAGTTGGCCAACATTTCTATAAATCCTTTGTTTTTATTGGTCTTCAGTAATATTCTAATTTTCTGATATGATGAATTTGAGATTTTCATTTGTTGTCATTTGTAATCATCAAAATTAAACAAAATAAACATCTGAAATATATGAGTTTGTATGTAATGTATGAATATAATATACAAGTTTCACTTTTTAAATGGAATTACTGAAATCAATCTACTTTTTCATGATATTCTAATTTTATGACCAGCACCTGTACCAGCCATGTATTCAGACTGTTTAGCATGGTGAAAGAGTAGGAGTATTTACAAATGAATGTTCTTCTGACTTCTTTTTTTTTAATGCTACCTTTTCCCTGCAGTAAGCCAGTACACCAATGCCTTTGCTTTCACCCAGCTGTGTGCTGTTCTGTGTGCTCCCTGGAACGGTCTCATTATGGACAGACACAGGGGCAGGTCTCGAGCTGCAGGTAACCTACTGATTTTTAGCAGGATCTCTGAAATTTCTACACCCAAAAGCCAATTTTTACAGTATCAGTTAAGGTTTCTCTGAACTTGCGAGCATCAATTTTAGGATGCTGATAAAAAATTAAAGGGAACGGTTTGCAGAAATATTAATGTGAAATTAATTGACAGGATTCTCTATGCTTTTAGGAGAAACAGAGCACGAGGCTGACCTGCGAGCTTCTGTGCTTTCCTTATTCCTGACGGCGCTGCAGTGCGTGTTGTTCTCTCTTTGTGCCTCCACCCCCTACCTGCCTCTTCAGTACCTCACCTTCATCCTGCAGGTGCTCAACCGCTCCTTCCTGTACGGTGGCATTGCAGCCTTCATCAGCGTGGCGTGAGTATCATCCTCAAATGGAAGCTTGAACGCGAGTTGCCTGATTGTGTTTTGACAAGAAACATAAGGATTTATGCTATTTATTAAAAAAAATTCTGTATAAAAAATTTTCTGATCTTCAATTTTTTCTGTTCTCTTGATAAGATTTCCTTCACGTCACTTTGGAAAGCTGTATGGTCTTGCCATGTCGCTGTCTGCGTCTTTTTCTCTGCTCCAGTATCCTTGCTTTGCTTTGGTGAACGGAGCTCTTGGTGGAGATCCTTTATATGTGAGCACCCATTTTTTTTTTCATTTTTTGTTGTTATTGTTGAGAGGCCTTCTCTAATGGCTTCCTACCTATCACTCTTTGTGTGTGCAGGTGAACATTGGCCTGACACTGCTATGCCTGCTGGCTTTTATACATCCCCTTTCTGTATATCTTCATTGTCGAAAACTTGCATCTCAGAGAGACAAGATCAAAGCCATCCCTTTGTCCTCTTGAAGACAACAGACTTATGGGATAAGGTTGACAACACACAGGATATAACTCTTCAATTTCACCAATGGAGACAGAAATTTGTTTTTATCTAATACACAAGATCTGCAAACAGTATGGTGACCCCTAAGTGTAACAGACAGGCTTTTTCATGAGTTTATTTCCTAACAACCACATAGTTTGCCCGGAGCTTCACAATTTATCTGAGCCACAGGAACCATGCTGCTGATGAAAGGTCATCTGTAATTCACCAACACACACAGCTTTCTTTCCCCTATCTACTCCAAAAATCACATGAGCACATACCACAGTCCTGTTGAAGTGTTAAATCTGGCAGTTCTGGCTCTGAGAGACCATGTTATGGATTCTACTTTGATTGAACCCCCTCCCAAAAAAACGGAAAAAAAAACATCCAAACCTTCATGTTCAGGAGTGAAGAGCAGGACATCAATGGCCCCTGGTAAAATGTCACACTCATTTTGATGGAAACCTCAAAGCTTCCTATGAATAGAAGTTTAATTTAGGTCATTTCTCAGTTTCTGTGTCTGATCCTGGTTCTCTTCCTACTGACAGGAATCGTTTTAGTGGCGATGTCCATATTCAACTAAAGCCACAGTGGCCATCTTGTTTCTGAGGCTCGATAATCAGTAAAAGCCTGTTTTCCTATTATGCCACAACATATACATTTTTAAAGTTTTTAATGCAACAATTCATGGCTCGTCACTGCCAGACGCTTCAAAGGGAATCTCATTCAGTCCTCCTTACCAAATAACTTCAGCTTTTCCGTTACCTGTGACACTTCTTATGAGATGATGAACAAACCTGGTTCTGTAAATTTGGCCTGTCCATCAGTGTAAGTGCATCAGTCAAGTCCTCCATGTGCTCTGTCCATTAATGCACCAAATTAAAAGTCTAGTTCCCCAACTAAGCTAGGAACACTGTAAAGGCCTGAACACACCGGTTGCATATGACTTGTCCATGTCACACTGACTGCGTATAGAGAGGCTCTGACTAGGCAGGGTGGGCAGATCTGCACAGATTGTTTCACTTGTCTCTGTGCTATACACAAATTAAAACAATTTCCCCATTTGACTTGGACAGATTAAGAAAAGTTATTTAAAAACAAGAAATAAAAACAAAGACCTACTTAACGAATCTGTGCAGCATCGCAAACCAGATCAGATAGAGCAGGCATCCCCAACCTCGGTCCTCGAGGCCTGCTGTCCTGCATGTTTTAGAGGTTTCCTTCTTCTTCTTCTTCTTCTTGTTGTGTTTATTGGCGGTTGGCAACAAACTTAATAGTAGCATTACCGCCACTTACTGGTATGGAGTGTGGCTCTCGTTGGTCTAACGCTCTTTTTGTATATATATATCTATATATACTCATACATACACCTACCAACCCACACAAACAAACTTACATCCATATTTATATTCTACTCATCACTATCATCCACACATTCACTCTTATGTCTACTCTATCAAATTCTACTGAATATCTTAGTTTTCTTTAAGAATCTAATAACTATTTGTATATGTTTGCTCTCCAAACTTTCCCTCAAAATATCTATTAACATAAATTTTACCTTAATACTTTCAAACTCTTTTATCATACATCTTCTCTCTCTTTCATATTTATCACATTCTAGAATAACATGTTCTACTGTTTCCCATTCTCCACAATATTCACATTTACCAGTTGCATGTTTTTGAATTTTAAAAAGTGAGTAGTTAAGTCCAGTATGCCCAAATCTTATCCTGGTTATCACTCTTTCCTCTTTTCTATTTCTTTTTCCCTTTCTTCTTTCTTTAACCTTCTTCTGAATTTTATAAAACCATCTTCCTGTTATTTCTTCATCCCACCTTTTCTGCCACTTTTCCATCAGTTTTTCCTTAACCATACTCTTTCCTTCAGCTTTACTTGTTTTAACTTTAATGCTAATTGGTTTTTGAATTGCCCCTTTTGCTATTTTATCTGCTCTCTCATTTCCTTCTATTCCAATATGCGCTGGAACCCATACAAAAATAACTATCACACCCATATTTTTAATTCTATATAATGTGTGAAAAATTTCTAATAATATGTCCATTCTACTATCCGATTGCTTGTTTTTAATACTTAATAATGCAGAACTTGAATCTGAACAGATTATTGTTTTTAATGGTTTTATCTCTTCTACCCATTGTAAGGACAATAAAATTGCCATCATTTCTCCTGTGTATACTGATAAATCGTCTGTAATTCGTTTTCCTATTCTTATATTGAATTCTGGTACAACAAACGCTATTCCTACTTTTCCAGTTATCTTTGATGCATCTGTATAGATTTGAATATACTGATAGTAATTGTTTAAATGTACCTGTACTGAACTACTATCAATGATGAAAGATTTATCCTGCTTCTTTTCCATGATTGTCATATCTACTGTTGCTTCTGGTAAAATCCATGGCGGTATTACTGATGTTGGTGTTGTATGACTAATTTCCAGATTATTCATGTTAAATTCTTTTATTTTATTTTCAATTGTCCATCCAAGACTCCCCATATCTTTTGTTTCTTTTTCCCAACATGGTTTTAAAATTTCCATAGCTGGATGATCTGAATTATTGCTCTGCAAATTTAACCAATAATTTAATTCCAACTTTAATCTTCTTAATTCTAATGGCATTTCTCCCATCTCTACTTCCATTGCTGCTCTTGGTGTGGTTTTAAACGCTCCAGAACACAATCTTAATGCTTGATGTTGTATTACCTCTAGTTTAACCAAATGTGCTTTTGCTGCTGAACCGTAAACAATACAACCAAAATCTATGTTAGCTCTTATCATACCTGTATAAACCTGTTTCAAAGATTGCCTATCTGCTCCCCAATCATTTCCAGCCAAACATCTCAAAATATTTAAGATTTTCTTACTTTTATCAACAACTTTCTGGATATGTACATTCCATTTTAGTTTATCATCAAACCATAATCCTAGAAATTTAATACATTTTACTTGCTCTAACTCTTGACTATATAATTTTAATTTTACTTCCCTGTTTATTTTTTTCCTAGTAAATACCATTACTTTTGTTTTTTCGACTGAAAACTTAAATCCCCATTGCCATGCCCATCTCTCTAGCTCATTAATAACATCTTGTAATTTTTTAACAATGAAATCTAAATTCTTCCCTCTTTTCCAAACCGCTCCATCATCCGCAAAGAGTGAACATCCCATTTCTTTATCAATACCTTTAAAAATATCATTTATCATAATAGAGAACAATAACGGACTTATTATACTCCCCTGTGGTGTACCGTTCTCTACTCTATATACTCCTGATGTTACTTCACCGATTCTAACTTGAATTTTCCTATTTAGTAAAAAGTCTTTAATCCATTGATATATCTTTCCTTTAATGCCCAACCTATATAGTTTAATTAATAATCCCTCTACCCACATCATATCATACGCTTTTTCTATATCAAAAAATACTGCCACCACATTTTCTTTATTAACTTGTGCCTTTCTAATTTCATGCTCTAGACATAATGTTGGATCATTAGTACTCCGCCCTTTTCGAAATCCACTTTGATAATTTACTATATACCCCTTGCTATTTAAATAAAATATTAGTCTATTGTTAATCATTTTTTCCATTATTTTACACAAATTTGATGTTAAAGCTATTGGTCTATAATTTCCTGGTATTGATTTATCTTTCCCTGGTTTTGCTATTGGTACTATAATTGATTCTTTCCATTCCATTGGTAATTTCCCCTCCTCCCAAATTTTATTATAAAATTCCAATATTATCCCTTTAGATTTTTCACTGAGCTGACTTATCATTCTATACCATATTTTATCTTTCCCTGGTGCTGTATTTTTAAGTTTTGTAAATGTAGAGTTCAATTCAGCTTTTGTGAATTCAACATTTAACAAATTATTTGCTTCTTCTTCTTCTTCTTCTTCTCTTCTATTATGGCGGATCACAAGCAACTTTAAGGTGCATACCGCCACCTACTGTACATGAGTGTGTAGCAGCGTTACTTCACATCTATTAGATTCTATATTTTAATTTTGTATTCTTAAGATACATAAACAATGCTTTCCTTAGTTTATGAATATCTGTTATGTTTCCTTCATTTCCTAATATTCCTTTAAGATTCCATTCATGCCCTATACTTCTAACTATTCTCTTTAATTTTTCCCTTTCGTGTTCATACAACTTACAGTTCATCAGTATGTGTTCTACATTTTCTTTTTCACCACATTTCTCACATTTCTCACTATTTTTCCTCCCTATTAAGTAAAGCATGTCATTTAAGTAGGTATGACCTATTCTTAATCTACTAACTATTATTTCTTCTCTTCTGTTTCTTTCATTAATGTTTCGAATTCGAACTGACTTTTGCACTTCATATAATCTTCTTCCTTTCCTATCTTCGTTCCATATTTTTTGCCATTCCTCCATTTCTTTACTTTTAATAAGTGATTTCCCTTCCCCTTTTCCAAAAGGAATTGAAATCGTTATTTCCCCCTCTAAAGCCCTTTTAGCTAATTTATCTGCCTTTTCATTGCCTTTTACTCCTTCATGTGCCGGTACCCAACAAAACCAAACATCAATGCCACCCCTATATAGTCTGAATAAAATATGATGAATTTCTAATACCAAATCTTTTCTATTATTTCCTTCTCCCTTAATACTTTCCACTACTGCTTTAGAGTCTGTGCACACCACCACCCTGATTGGTCGAATCTCCTCCACCCATTGCAAGCCTAATATAACTGCCACCATTTCTGCTGTAAATACCGACAATTGATCTGTTATTCTTTTGTGAATACACTTTTTAAACTCTGGGATATATATTCCTATACCCACATAACCTTTTAGATTTTTAGAACCATCTGTATAAATTTTAAGGTAATTATTATATGTAGTTCTTAAATAAATATCAGTTTTTATCCCTATTTCATTTATATTCCAATCATTTTTCATTGTATTGATTTGCAAATCTACATTAACCTCAGGTATTAGCCATGGAGGAATAACGCTAATTGGGTTAAATTGAGCTATTTCCTTGTCTTCTAGTCTATACTTTTTAATCCATTTCCTAACCATCCATCCAAATCCATTACTTTGGAACTTCACATATTCCCAACAATTTTGCAGAATAGTTGAATTCACATGATTATCTATATTACTTTTAATTTTCTAGAGGTTTCCTTGCTCCAGCACAGCTGATTTTAATTGAAAGCTGATTAACAGGCTTTTGGTCTACTGCAATCATTATAATCAGCTGTGCTAAAGCAGGGAAACTTCCAAAACCTGCAGGACAGCGGGCCTCAAGGACCAAGGTTGGGGATGCCTGAGATAGAGAATGTTATATGCCTATATTAAAAATATAATGAGATCTATGTTTAAAGAAAAGAAAAACAAAGCCGTGGGGCA